TGGATAGACCCTGGCTTTTCATTTAAAGGCAAATTAAATTAGCAAAGGAGGTTAAAGACAAAAATCTTTAATTTTTAAATGAATTATATCTGTACATTTAAGATACTAAACATGACCATTTAATAATCAAGTTTTATAAAGTACTATACTTTGTTTCCATTATTCATTATTCCATATGTCCTGTTGGTTGAAATGAATATTAACCTTTTCAGTTTTCTTTTCAGTTTCTCAATTGTTTTTGTCTTAGCTGTCCTAATTAGAACGAGGTTCATTTTGCTACCTTATGCTATTTGTTATCTATATTTAGTGCACTTGTGCATGAAAATCTGAGGCCAGATGTCTTATTTATTGCTTCTTTACTGGATTCTATCTCCTTTGAATTTTTGGGTGACTCTACTGCCATTCTGCAGCTACCCTACATGACAGATCTGACCTTTTTGGCAGTCTAGTAAAATCTATGCATCACTTTTCAGAATGATGCTTTTAATGGCATAAAATACAGTATATAGGATTATAAAGTAAACTAAAGATTAGTGAAAATATATAAAGATTTAATATTTTTCCCATACAAGTTCACAGACCTCCCTCTGAAACTGTTTATAGACCTCAGGTTAAGTATCCCACCTCTATAATATCTAACTTGTTAGGCAATTATCTACCTCCTTTTTCCTTCTGATTTGAAGACTTGGGACAAATGCATTTTTAATAGATCTTCTTAGGCATACTTTGTCCCTGGCCAGGAACCTGTTATGCTATGCTCCAGAAATCAAAGACTGTTCTTAGATACCATTTTCTCTTTAATACACACACACACACACACACACACTTTTTAAAAGACAGTATCTTCCTAACATCTGTCCATTTATCAAAAATACTTTCCTAAAGTCCTTGATTTTGATCAGCAGCAGTGATTAAATAATGTGTGGTTAAGGTCTTCAATTTCTCGTATAAGATTTCAGTCTTTAGTTAGGCTTTCTGGATTCCTTCTGGCAATATCACCTGAGCTCATGTGAATCCCCAGAAATTTGTAATAGTTGTCTGTTTTTATAGTACCTTGGGAGGCTCAGTCATGTCTTTTATATATGCCTGGAAGACAACAGATGCTTTCGTTGTTATTAGGACTCAGTACTCAGGAGATGGTCGCCAGACACAGCTACTTATTTCTTCTTCTGAGCATTCCTAGATGTCTTCTCATCTAATAGTATCTACAGACCTATATCATTATTACTGGAGGAAAAGCATATGCTTCCTCCTCTTTAGGTAGAGTCTCAAAATTATGATTCAGTTTTAAGTATTCAGTGATCCTTCTTCCTTTTTTTCTATATCACATTCTTCCTGAATCATAACCTCCTGACATAGATTAAGGTTTACCAGTGCCCCTTCAACTCCATTTTCTTCTTTGCCTTCACATGGATGCTCTTCAGTTGCTGTCTCCCCCCTCCCCCACCACCCCAAGGGATCATTCCATTCTTGCTGATAATCTGGAGAATGGAGAGATTGTCTTTGTGTTCCTTCACTTTGTTTTCTAGAAGAGAGGCTATTCTGTATTTTGACGGCACATAACACTCACTTGGCTATGGCCGAATTACAAACAGGAAATTCTCTGCAGGTATGCGGAAAAGCTGTTGATGTTTTCTCTACTGGTTATACGTATATATGACAAAACATAAAAAGTCATAAAAACTTAGTACCTACAACAGTGCTTGGCATTAGATGCTTGATAAATGTTTATTGATAGAATGCCTGGAAATTTGGTACCTTTTGACTCAGTGACTTCACTGCTAGGAATTCAGAGAATCACAGAATTTCAGAGATTCACCTCACTCTAATGGAAAACAATGTGTAAACAGGTATACACATAATATGTGTGTGTGTGTGTGTGTGTGTGTGTATAAAAATTGGAGGTAATCCAGAGGGAAAGCACCGGCATTAATAGAGACAAGGAAATGTTTATTGCAGAAGGAAGGATTTGGGCTGAGTCTTGAAGGTAGAGCTGAAGAAGAGCATTTCAGGCATTTCAGGTATGGCAGAGTGAAAAGGCACAAGAGTTGGAAGGGGAGTGTTGTGTGTGAGGAACAGCAAGGAGGACAGTGTCATGAGTTCATGGAGGACAGTAGTATAAGAAGCCTGAAAAGGTAGGAAGGGATTAGTTTGGTATGAGCTTTAAAAGTCAAACACAACATTTTATATTTAATCCTAGAGGTAGGGAGCTTAGTAAATAGGGGTCAAATCTGTGCTTTAGAGACATGACTTTGGCACTTGAGTGGAGGACAGAGTAGAGCTAGGAGAGACAAACCTTTAAAGTGCAATAGTCCAGGCAAGAAGTGATAAGGGTCTATGACAGGGTATTAGTTGTGAAGGTAGAGAGAAGGCAACATATTTAAAAGATGTTGTGAATTTAGAAATGACAAGACTTGACAACAGACAGAATATGTAGAATGAATTTGAGGATGACAATGAAGTTGTGAGCCAGGTGACTGGGAGAACAGGAAAGTTAGAAACAGCATAGAGTGTGGGGGAAAAATGAGTTCTGTTTTGGACCTGCTGAGTCTGAGATGCACATGAACAAAGGCAGGGAGACATAACAAAAGGCTATTGTAACAGTCTAGGCAAGAGGTGAAGTGGCCCGCTGTGTGAATGAAAAGACTATAAATAAAATGTGAAGGTAGAAATAACAAAATGTAGCAATAGACTGGATATGTGGAGTGAATGTGACTAAAGTGTCAAGGACACTGAAATTGTGAGCATGAGTGACCAAGAAAATGGTGGTGCTCTAGACAATAATAGGAAAGTTGCTGAGAAAGTAGAGGATTTGGAGGGAAAGATAATGAGTTTTGTTTACAGCATTTTAAATTTGAGATGCAGGTGGAACATTCAGTTTAAGATGTCCAAAATGTGGAATTCTAGTGCATAAAGATGATAATTGAACCCATGGGAGTAGATGAGATCAAGCAAGATAGTACAGAGGAAGAAGAGGAGTTGCTTGGATAGACCCTTGAGGGACACCCACGATTAGTGTATAACCTGGAGGAAGATAAAGCAAAGCAGACTGAAAAGTGGTGAGGGGCAGGTAGGTGGCGCAGTGGATAGAACACTGGCTCTGCAGTCATGAGGACTTGAGTTCAAATTCAGCATCAGACACTTACTAGCTGTGTGACCCTGGGCAAATCACTTAACTCTGACTGAGAAACAAAGAAAGGAAGGGAAGAAGGAAGGAAAAGAAGAAAAGAAAGTGGTCAAACTGGTAGAAGAACAACTAGGGAAGAGCAATACCATAAAAACCCAGAGATGAGACTATCCAAGAGAAAGGATGACTGGAATGTCAAACAGCATGGAGAATCATCTTAATTCCTTTTCCACGTAACAGCTTAGCAAATACTTGAAGATGACTATCACTTATCCCTTGGGTCTTCTTTTCTCCAGAATAACTCTTCCCAGTTTCTTTCAACTACTTCTAATATGCCATGGATTTGAAGTCCTTTCCAGCTTCGATTACTTTCCATTATACACCATTTTAATGAGAATGGAGGAAATAGAAGGTGATAGAGTTTAAGCAAGAAAGTATGGTGAAGAAATGAAATTAATGAAGAGAAACTGCTAGTTGGAGAAATTAGGCAGGGAAAAGAAGGGACAGCAAGATTTAACAGATTTTTTTCCTAGATGGGGAGCCACATATATATGAAGGTAGAGTCAGTAAAGTGGGAGAAACTGAAGATTCTTTAAGTGTTTCATGTTAGAAAAAGAAAGATTAGGTAGGAGTAAGATCTTTCAAACTGGCAAGGAATGAAATCTGCAGAGCAGATGGAAGCTTTAACTCTTGAAGGGAAGAGAAACAAAGCATTGGGGCGAGAGAGTTCAAGCTGAATTAACTAGATTCCCTTAGTAAAGATGGAATTGAAGCTATTGGCTGAAAACAGAGCTTGCTTTTAACTAATAAGTGTCTAAAGAAACTTTTAAACATATCCTAAGTATCTAGAGAATCTGAAAATTCATCTGAAACACTAAGTTTAGCTTTATATTTCTCTTATTTCTAACTAAATTATGTTTCTGGGGAAAAAAAGCCTTCACAATTCAACAATCCAGCATGGTAAAATTACTATAATATAGAAGCCATTTGCTACATTTGGAAACCATAAAATACTCTATTACATCAGTAAAACCTCTAAATTGACAGATACCAGTTTAAATTTCATGTTCAGCTTCCAAACAAAATTTTAACAGCTATAATGTTCAAAACACATAAGTGAATATGGTTTCTTTTCACTAGGTTATATAAGAAGCTATAAATAACAGAGTACATGTGTTCCACCCAATTTCTTTCCCTTACTCATATGAAAATGTTTTATCGGTAGTATTACAGATTATACAGAAGTGTCTGTATAATTCAAGGCAAATCTATCAACGTTTACATACTGTACCATCATTGCTCTAAAAATCTTGTCCCTCAAATTGATGGCCTCATCACCTTTCACTAGGACTATTTTAATAGTACCCTAACATCAGATTTTTTCCCCCCTCCAATATATTTTTGAGAGAATCAGAGTATCTCAGAGCTCAGAGTCCTCAGAGGTCATCTACTCTTACTGCTGACCATACACTCTTGTTAACATATTGCACACATAATTGCTCTAGCTCAACATCCCCTTATATCCCCACTGTCTGCCTAATAAAGTATAAGCTCCTTAAACCGCCATTCAAAGCCTTTTGTGACTGGGTTCCAAGATACCTTTCTAGATGCCCTCTATGTTACTACCTCTAGATTTCCTCTATGTTACATAGATGTTCTCTATGTTACTACCAAAACGAACTGCTCTTGCTCTTTCCCATCCCTGTAATAAATATGTCTCCTCTACTACTCTCTCCTGGTTGAAAATCATTTCTTGCTTCACAGCTCAATTTAGGTGCTAACTTCTCCATGAAGACTTCTCCAATCATGCTTTGCTGGCGATGATTTCTCCCATTATCAAACTTCTTATTGCATTTTAGATTCCTCTGCTTACCTGAGGGTCCACTAACCATCCATGGTACAATGGAATATCAAGTAGATCAAACACAATGCACTCAGGTGTATATTCAAATGTTCGGACACCAGTGAATTTCACATTTACATCCAGACCTGTCTGTAGTTTGTGCAGAATTGCCATAGCATCACTCATATTCTGCAAGTAAAAGAAAAGACACATGAAGTCAAAAGCTTAACAGCTGCTTATATTTAAGGCTATTTCAAACTCTATATAGCATGCTTACACAAATAAAACAGTTCACTGACTTAAGTAATCATCCATTATTTGTATCAACATTTCCAATATATGTTCAAATACTTTGCTCTGAGAGCTCCCTTCAAAAAGTCTTTTTAAAAAAATAATTAGATTCTCCTAGGAAATTCTTATCAACAAAATCTGGGATGCAGTAATCCCAAACCAAAATGCTTCATTACCTAACCCAACTCCCAGTAAAGGTAAGAAGATAGAAAATAATGATGTACACACAAGCTCTAAATAGCAGAATCTGCTATTTTGAACTGCTGCTTCATAGCCCTGCAGCTACCAAGTAGAACCTAAGGCAGGAGAACAAGCATTTGAGATAGAAGAGGTAGAATGGGCAGGCTCTTCTTTTGGTGCTTTCAATTCTTTAATTAAAAGCACTTTGTAAACACTCAGAGAACTCAATAAGGTCTCTCATTTGTAAGCAGATCAGTTCCTTTCTAGCTGTTCATTCTCACTTGAACTTTCCTGCCTCTCCTCTCTCCTTGAAAGCCCAAACTGGAGAATGGATTTGAAGTTTGAAAGGTATGGTCAGGCTTCAAAGGTGAATGGTCAAGGCTGGGGTGTGTACCAGCACTTGGAAGCTAGAAGGGATCTTAGAGAGCATTTATAGCCCCTGATATGGATTTTATATCTCCAAATCTGACCTCAGGCTACTGGTCTTCACTGTCAGTATCCTAGCTACTAAGTAATATGATGATAAGGAATGAGTTTTGCAGCCTATAAAAAAATAGCCTTGGAATTACTCTGTGTTCACGCACAGATACCATCCACTTGGCTTTTGTAGGAAGATGATTGCCTGGCCAAGTAAGTCATTTCTCCTTGTTGGGTTGGGGCCTCTTCATATAGTTCTATAAACGAGGGAAGCAACGATGTCAAATAGGTTCTTAACACAGACCATGATTCTATCCCACTTGACTAATCAGTTACAGTTGTAAAGAGCCCCCCCAAGCATTACAAGCTCCAGATCAGCCTTGTGAGAGGTTATAGGCATTACATTTTAAAGAAGTCCTATGGAGCTCCTTCAGTTCTTCATAGAGCAGGGGCTTTTAACCTACAGAGTCCATTGACCCTAGATTTTTTTTAGGGTCCATGAACTTCAATGAGAAAAAAAATAAACCTTTATTTTCACTAAACTCTAACTGAAATTCAGGACTCCTGTAATTACGAGTGTAGGTAACAAATCATTATTCTGGGAATGGGTTCACAGGCTTCACAAGACTGCAAAAGAGGTCCATGAGTGTCTCAGAAGAAAAAGTTAAGAAACCCTTCTTAGAGTACTGAGCCAGTAATGAAAAAAGAATTTTTCTGAAACCATCCCCTTCATCTTTTCTTATACCACAATAGTATTCCATCACATTCATATATTGCAACTTGTTCGGCCATTCCCCAGTTGACAGGCATCTCCTCAGTTTCCAATTCTTTGCCATCATAAAAAGACCTTTTACAAATTTTTTATGCAAACAGATCCTTTTTCTTTTCCTTTGATCTTTTTGGGATATAGACCTAGTAGTGGCATTGCTAGATCAAAAGGTATACACAGTTTTAGAGCCCTTTGGGTGTAGTTCCAAATTGTTCTCCAGAATACTAGATGTCTTCACAGCTCCAATAACAATGCATTAGTGTATCTATTTTCCCGCATCCCCTCTAGCATTTATTGTTTTGTTTTTCTGTCCTGTCAGTCATTCTGACAGGTGTGAGAAGTTACCTCAATTTCTCTAAATATTTGTGATTTAGAGCATTTTTCCATATGCCTACTGATAGCTTTGATTTCTTCCTCTTAAAACTGCCTATTCATATCCTTTGACTATTTGTCAATTGGGGAATGGCTCTTATTTTTATAAAATTGGCTCCGTTCTCTACATATTTGAGAAATAAGACCTTTTATCAGAGAAACTTACTGCAAAATTTCCACCTAGTTTCCTGCTTTTCTTCTAATTTTAACTGTATGGTCTGTTTGGAAAAACTTTTAAATTTTATGTAAAGTCATCCATTTTACCTCCCATGAACTTCCCTACCTTTTGTTTAGTTATTAATTCTCCCCCTGTCTATAGCTCTGACATGTAATTTCTTCCACACTTCCCTAATTTACTTATGATATCACTCTATGCATGTTTTCTATTGCTTCTAGGACTCTACCCAATTTGTCAATCCTCCTAGTAAATGTGGATAACCAAACTCCAATAAAGGCCTAACCAGAAGCTGATAGAGCTAAAAGAGTAATTCTCAATTTTTATGTGTTATAACCCTGTTGATACATGTTAGCAGGGACACTACTTGCTTGAAAAGAAAAAAAAAGCAATAAATAACAAAACAGTTAAAAAGTGCTAAAAACAATGGAGCTCTAATCAATTACTGATATCTTCATCACTTCTACAATGTTGCTAATAAATTTTAAGCAGCACTATGACACAACTAACTCTACTTCTAAAAGTAGTACTGAACTAGCACTGAACTCTTGTTGAGGGCCGATCTTAAGAGTCTGATAAGGGTTTAAGATCCAAGGCAGAGTTTGACCTCTGCTCAGGCTTTCACCCCAAAGGACTCAGGGATTAAGTGGTACGGCTCCCCAAATTCCTTCCTGATAAAGAGGTCTCTGAGACATCCCTTCTCTCTCTTTGAACCTTAGGTTTACATATTTACTCCTCTATGCAGGTGGCGCCTAGGCGCCTGGGAAAACCTTGGAATCTACAGCCCAATCTAGGAACCCTGATAAGGAGGAAATTCATGATTGTTACATCCTCAGCAGATGTTCTGGGGAGTATCTCATGGGGAGGACTCTTTGAAATTAGGCTAGATCTTCCCTATATATTCTGTGCCCTCACAGATGAATAAACTGAGTCAGTAATTCTACTCCGCCTGGCCCATGTCATAAGTTATTTCACGCCTCTCCATTCGGTGTACAATCTGGTTGCAGGCAACAAACTCTAAAAATGAAACAGATATTTGGAAGGTACACTGGTAAACATTTTTAATAATCTATAGAAACTGACCTAATTTGCCTTTTCTAATACATAATCTATGTGTTATCAAGCATTAAGGGTCCTGAATATATGCCTGTATTTTTCCTCATTATCCTGAATAATAAAACAGTGAGCTATATTAGTACCTTACCAATCACATTTCAATTGGTACCTGTGTAATTTTATTCCAAGAGGTATTTGTTTCCTTAATTTGTACATATTACTATAAACTGTATTCCTGTCTTCCTCAGTCAACTTGGGCTCATTATAAGCTTACTGAGAATGTTTTCAATTATATCAATACAGCTTAGATGAATATATAGGCAGAAACTTGTGTTAATAAATAACATTATAACATTGGCTTTTGTGTATTGGTTGCCAGCTTACAAATGTGCATTCAACAAATTCACAAGTCTATCAATTTAACAAAGAAACCATTCTTTGGTATGCTCCTCAGATACTGTAACTATACACAATGTTAAAATATTAATAAAATGCAATATTCCAAATTGCTGTGTTTGTATGATGGAGTTTTTTTTTTTAAATACTTGCTCTCCATGTAATTGGGATACAGGGTCATTTTAATGGATGTGGGGGTCAAAGTAGCTAGTGGAGGGGGAATATGAAAAGAGAAAGGTAACAACAGCAAACATTCCTATAGCACTTACTACACTGGGATCAACCCCAAGGTACTGAAAAAGTAGCAGATATGATTTTAAGCCATAATTTTTAAAAAAATTTTTCAAAGATTTAGTGATCTTTGAAACATCATGTAGAATGAATAAGGTATTAAAGGATTGGGAAAGGGCAATTATCCCAATTTCCAAAAAAGCAAAGAAAGTAGATACTGAAAACTCTAGTCCAAAAAACTTGACCTTTATTCCTGGCAAAATTCTATAATATGTTTATTACGAAATGAAAGTGTTTTATAAACATTCAACTGCCTTATAAATGTGAATTATTAACTACAGGATGGTTTGTGAAGATTTTAAAAGGGAAATGCCACTTAGTAAACCAGCAAGGCTTATCAGGAACAAATCATGCCACACCTAATTTCCTTTTTTTGGACAATTAGTTGTTAAATCAATGAAATGCTAATTATACCCAGGTTTCAGCAAAGTAGGTGACAAAGTCTCTGACGTTATCCTGGTAGATAAGAAGGGAAGAAGACAGAGAACTATACAGATTAAGGGGATTTAGAATTGTTTGCATGTTTGCATACCCAAAAAGTAGTCATTAAAGGATTGATAACTACTTGGAGGGAAATTTGTGAAGCACTCCAAGAATCTGTCCTTGATCAACTGTGCTGTTTACAATTGTTCTCAGGGACATGGATGGCATACAATACAACAGAGTCAGGATCTAAAAAGATCTTGAGAAAAAAGTCACACAAATACACTCTTTGGTGGAGATTTGAATTGGTCAGGGGTGGGGAACCTGCGGCCTTGAGGCCACATGCGGCTTTCTAGATTCTTGGGTGCAGCCTTTTGATGGAGTCTAAGTTTTACAGAACAAATCCTTTTATTAAGGGGATTTGTTCTGTGAAGTCTGGATTCAGTCAAAGGGCCGCATGTGAGGACCTAGAGGGCCACAGGTTCCACACTCCTGGGACTCCAAACATTCTAGAAAACAATTTGGAACTCTGTCTAAAAAATAAGTAGATTGTATATACTGTTTGATGGTGGATAGCAATACTACTACTAGGTCTCTCTTACAAAGAGATCAAAGAAAAAAGAAAAGAAAAGAATGTTTATAACAGTTCTTTTTATTCTAGCAAAAAAAAAAGGAAACTAAGAGAGAGCTTATCAAATAGTAAAGTGCTGAACAAGTTGTTGTATATGAATGTAATAGAATATTATTGTGCTATAAGAAATGATGAAAGGGATTGTTTAACAGAGAAGCATAGGAAGACATGCAGCAAACTGATATCAA